CCGCCCCCGGCCGCTCATCCCTCTGCAGCCGGCGAGACTCCAACCCCAGCTAACTCATCAGGCACCTCGCTGCCATCGGAGAACTTCGCCCTGCTGAGAGAAATGCTTTGCAGCACGGAGGGAGCTTGTTTGTGCCGACTGCAAGGCACTGAGAAAATGAAGTTGGCTGGAATGGATTCCTGAGGGAACTTGGGGATATTGAGCACCCCTCCAGCCCCTCTGCGTGGCTGCACAAGACTTCCCTTGTCTTCGTCTTTTGAGGGACGGTGGGAAAGCAGGGAGTTCAGAAAGCTCCTCTGCACATTTGACCTCCGTGGAGATGGCGAGATCACAGCGTGCTGGGTACGTCGCTGCGTTGCTAGAAGGTGCTCTGGTGCTACCACAGCGATGGCTGGGGAAGGAGCCCTGCGCAACAGGGCTCCAGCGCCCGACCACCCTCCTCAACGCTGCGTCAGCTGCTGTAGTTTCAGAGGATCGAGGGAAGCCAAGTTAGTTTTGAGGAGGACATTTGCTTCAGAGATACACACGGGGGATTAAAATAAACCCAGCAGTAGGTGCAGAGCTGACAGCAAACATTCCCATACAAAAAGCCCTTTCCTGCAGTTCACGGCCTCCTTTCACGCCCAGAGAGGCCGCCCTCCTCTTCACGCTGGCCTTTCCCCCCCCTGCTGCTCCCTTCTCCCAGCGCAGCGGGGCTCAGACAGGACTTCGCAGCCTACCCCTCCCGGCAGGCTGCTCCCCTCCTGCGCCACGCAGGTGCGGTTTCCTCCTCCGCCCAGCACAGCTGGCTCTCTGGGAGGCTCTCGGCCACTGCACGGACACCCACACATCTGCATCTAAAATTCCTGAGGACTCCCACAGGAGGCCAAATTTCTGTGTCTACTCCACTCCCCTGCTCTTAATCATGCACTCCACCTAAAAGGTATTTTTCCAAATGAGTAATCCTCAGGCTGCTGCAATCAGGACGAGATCTCTCTCCCTTTACAACCGCATTAGCATACGACTATTTAAAACCTCCCAGGGTCAGCTCTGCAGCGCTTTCTGAAGATCGGTGTGGAGGTAAACAGGCACGCTTGGCCGCCTCCTTCACCAGTTCTCTGTAGTTGAAGAGCAACATATAAGGAATGATTCATCCAAATCTTCCTATAGTTGCTTAAAAGTTACTGTTTCACAAATACCGTATGAAGAGAACACAGTCAAGTTATTCTGACATTTGCAGAAAGTTTTAATGACACTCAGTATTTCTAGAAGAAAGGCTCCTCTTCCTCAGGAAAATGTGTCCCTTGGCCTTGTCAGAGCAAAGCCCTTCAGTAGGTGTGCTTCAATATTTATTTCTGCTGTGAATGTCTCAGATTAGTGGAGAGTTTGATGATTTTTAAAATGCGGATAAAGGTTATGTTCACGTAGGAGACATTAAACGATACCTGCAAGCCCATACCTTCTTCCAAAACTGCTGCCCTTTCAGGCTGCTCCTCCCTCAGGCTGTGCATTGCGTTTAGTGGTCCCTTGAAGCCCAGCCTCGCTCAGTTCTGCACTCAGAAACTACAGATGTCTTGTTTTCCCATTGAAACTACATATAATTGCCACAGCGCTGTGTTTATCTATGACCTGAAGAGATGCAAGATGTGCAATTCACTCCTGGGCAGCCAATACCGCTGTAACACGCTCCCCTCAAGCCATCACATGTTCCAGGGCATGCGATGCCTAAAGACTTCCCAAGGGACTTTTGTTCCACGCTGTTTCAATGCCCCAGCCACGGACCAGCTCACAAGACATGAAATACTGGTGCATGGATACTCTCAAGTATTTCATATCGTCACCAGGAAAAAGGCCAGGAGCTAATTCCTAGAATAGACTGGATGAAAAACTCATCAGAGAAAATACAATTCACATGTACGTAGAAGGGTTTCAAAATTTAATAAGTTGACACCGTGAACGACTCAAGAATCTTTAAAATGTGAGAGTTAAGAAACAAAGTTTAGGTCACATATTTAAAAAAAAGACATTTCTTGTATAACAAAGAGAGAAAACAAAAAAACATTTGCTCTGGTAAAACACCAGCGATGCTGGTCCCCGTTTGAAGTGAGAATGCTATAACAGAACTTTTTAAAAAGAAGCACCTGGAATTACATGACCAGTTTAGAACTGCTCACACCGTAATTTCTTCTCACAGCAGCCTACCAAGTTGCTGTACAGTGAACAAGTAGGGAACCTGAGTCCAGTCCAGTGATAAAATCAACACAGTCATCTTCCATAGGCAGAGTTCAGGGCCTCAAGTGTAAGCAAGCACAGCAGTTTGATATAAGCTCACCTTCCCCCTCCTAGCAAGAAGAAACCACTTACTCCACAAAACAAAGAAAACTGTCATGATACTCCAAACAAGTCACAGTAATAGGAAAAAGAAAGCAAAAAAACATTCTAGGGAAGATTCATTCAAGCTAAGCATTGCTTTTTATTCCAACCAAAGAGAGATTCTAGCGATGGGGGAACAGTCAGGCCACCGGATCAGGCTGACCATGCCCCCTCACTGCAAGACTGATGTTTGCTATCCGCAGCAAACGCCCTACGACAGCACGTGTGGGTAACAAGCAGAAAACAATTTCAGGCTCCTCCGTCGCTGGACAGAACGTCAGGCAGAGCGTTTGCACCTGATACCGGTCACCCGTTGCTCTGCAGGTACCTATCCAGGAACTGGGAATAGCAGTCTAGAGAACAGAAGTAGCAGATGACGGGTGCTTCCGTACCTCCCATGTTATCCACGAGGACCACGGTGTGAGCTACGTGATGGAGGTTCATGGTCACCGTGATCTGAATGAAGCTGCTCAGACAGGCACTTCCGCACTGGCATGTTTTAGCCACTTCCAGATCTTCACAAAGGTGAGAAGGAAGGAGGTGACAACCATAAGGGATTCTGTTGAACAAGAGGAACAAGTGTGAATTCACTACAAAATTAACCGATGTCACTCAAATGCAGTGACATGCCATATGCACCAGTTGGAAGAAACGCTGTTCCGAGATCATAGACAAGGCAAATTGGAAATGTTGCCACTTGCGATATAGGACAGGTTAGGAATTAGATGTTGCTTTCCAAGAGTCACTAAAAACGTGCAACCGTGTTACCGACCCCTAAGGACCTGGACACCAGAAGACACTGCAACAAGAACCAGGGAGTTCACACAAATCATAACAGCCTGTATCACAACAATAGAGAATTAGAGAATTAAAAAGAAGATTAAGAATAATGAGACAACTGAGTACATATCTGCTCCTCCCTCACACTAGCCAGGAAGATCACCGTACTTCATCCCGGCCTGACGAAGCACCCACAATTTACTCCTCCCTCTCTAACATAAGGAAGTGGTAGTAGTGTAAAAACACGATATCCAGAGGAAATGGGAGATAAAATGAGGCTCTTTACAGTAGTACTACATTGCAGGCAATAAATTAAGGTTCTCTTAGTATACCCGCTCTTTTTGTCCATCATGTCAATAACGACATCCAGAGACAGGAACAAGAATTGCTTCTTTTTAAATTTGCAGAGCAGCATTGTGTTTGGGGTACCAAATAAATAATTTCCCTGAAGTACTCTGTTAACTTCAAAGTGTGGGTATCACGTGCCCGGCTGTCACTCAAGACTCACAGAATAGGTCTCACTGACTCACATCCCGACTCCACCTACACATTCCCAATTCTTTCTACATACCATCATTCACACAGCTAAGACTCCTGTGGGGTTTTTTTCACCACCTCAATTTCAGGACATCCTTTTTTCCGGTCAGGAAAAGCATTATCGCAGCTCTGGTACTTGCCCAGCATGCTACTATGAAGATTGATTTCCAAATATTTGCTTTTGTGTCTTCCCTCCTCCTGATTTTTTCCTTTCTTAAGGTTTTTGCAGCCCGTCATCACTCCTGTTTCACATTCTTTGTTAATTCTCACCTCTGACAAATATCAGGCAGAATGTCTGTTGCCCGCCTGTTAGACTTTTTTTTTTTCTTTTCAATTTAAGATAACCAGGACTGCTCTGACCAATGCTGTCTCCTAATAATTACAGACCCGTGGGCAAGGGGACTGTTTCCATTGCCCCATGTCTCACCCAGATTCCTGGAGCAGAAAGCCTTTTTTTGTTCTGTGTGATGCCTTTTTTTTTTTTTTTTAAAGCCTGCTGCATGGGGGGCCAGGGGCTGGGTGAATGACTAGGTACCCTTAGGTAGTCTGGTGATGTAACTGAGCACCAAAACCTGACCAGTGTTGAAGGCCGATATTCTCTAGAAAAAAAAACATGCCTTAATAATATAAAAATGACTGCAATTTATATAAAGTTGGGAAAGGAGACACGTGGAGTTTAATTACTCTAAGAAAATCAGCAAGGTCAGAAGTGGATAAGATTTGAACCAGAACATTGGTTCATGGTTGCTCAGCTCATTTCCAGGGTGTGCCCTGCATGCCTGTGGACACCTTTAGCACAGACATCTGAGCAATTAACCCAGGTTTACGGGGCGCTCCCCACCCCCAAGGCAGGAATGGGCACAGAATGTGGATGAGGAACACTTCAGGTCTGTCTCTCACCCCCTTGCTGTGCCAGTGACTCTTTTCAAAAATCTTTCTGCTCCCTTTCCACCCAGCAAAGGGTGGGAGTAGCAGCAACTGGTACTGAAAGGATCCCGGGCAGTGGCATGCAGGCAGAGCTATCCAAGTGGCATGGGAGAAGAGCAGAAAACTGATAATAAACAGCAGCCTGGCAAGGATGATGTTTACTCGGTGAAATAATCACTTTAAAATTACCTCAGAACTGGGCTTCGCTGCATAAGACAGACCATCCTCACTCCAACACCAAAGGGAATTAAGAGCTCAAGGAAAAACTAAGGTAGGGAGAAGCCTAACACCAACTCCAGCATGACATTCGCCCTCTGAGGAGCCACCTGGCAGTGCCTTCCTAGCATTACTCACCTTGGGTAAGGTCCCATCTAAAGCAGAGGCTGACCAATCCACGTCTGTGACTAGGAGCTGTATGGTAGAAGGTAACCTTTTGCCAACACACCATTCTCACACGGGAAGAGATAGGGACAGGCTGATGGGGTTTACACACGGTTTTAGTGTGCTTTAATGTGAGCACAAGATGAAGGGCAACCATGTTTGAAAGCAATTTCCGAGCTAGAGATTTCCAACACAAAATATGATCTGTGCCACAAAATCCACTGTCATGTAAGCTCCTCAACACAGGCTGCCAGTAGCGGTTCCGGGGTTGCCGAACTGAATCTCT